ATCACTTTCGATCCTATTCAGATCTGATAAAATTACAAGATTTCATGTAATAGAGCAGACATGTAAAGCATAAGAAATTGTAAAAAAATGAAAATAATACAAAAATTTACTATGATGACTAACTTCCAACCTTCAAGTAAAAGTTTTTAGAATGAAATTTTACTTAGAGGACATGATAGTCAATATTAGGTATATAAAGAATTTTTGATATATTACAAACTATATCTTTTTGGCTAGCAGCTTGAGAATTTTTAATATAAGGAAATTCTACTAAATTGGGCTTGTAGTTATACCAGTTTATAAAATTTTATCTAACTAAATTTGTTCATTTTAGCTATCTTAGTTCAATAATTCAAAGTATTTATTTTCAAAGCATACACTTAAGAATTAAACTATTTGTTGCTTTACTAATCTGCTTACTGTTATTGAGCTTTATTCTCTTTTGTTTAATACTGTCACTATAGGCAAACATTTATCTGATTGGCTGATATAAACTAATTGTCTAGACAATTTATTTAAACAGTTTAAAGTACTTGTTAAGAATGTAATGTTTCACTACTATAAAAACACTGTAAAAGCTATTTATAACTTCAAAAAATGTTTATTATTAATCATAAATAACCAGTAACCTCAAGAACTTTACTTAGAAGTGAATATTTATTGTAATACTAGTTATATTGCCTATATTTAAGCTCTAAATTTTGAAATTGCCAACAAAAAAATGAAGTTTAAGATGTTATGTATAAGATCTAAATCAATGAACTTTGTTAATATCATTTAGCATATTATTATAACAAAAAGCATATATTAATTTCTTATTTTATGTATTCTTAATATTATAAAGTTGTCACTAATATATATATGAGTATTATTGTTTCATTAATTACATATGTTAAAAGTTATACTATATCTCTAATAACAAACATGATAATAATGATTAATTTTTTTAAAACATAATTAATAAATAAAAATAATTTTACTAATAATTTATTTACTTATTAACTCTTTAATAGGTTTGGTTTTTATAATTAATATTACATTTATTCCATTTTATGCATATTTATCTGTTTTTCTAACTTTATATGATAAATTCTTTGTATGTAATTATTAGTTTGTAATCTTCTTTTAATGAAGGTTACTTTGTCTTCTAGCAGTATTAAAATGATAACTATTTTAAAAACTATGTAATTTGATTGGTTAATTATCTTGAGCAGACTGGTTAATTAAAAATGCTACTAAAATTTACTAAAAAATTGATAAAATTAAATATAGCAATAGGAGCAAACAAAGAACTTATGCCAAAAAAATCCATATTTCATTCCTGATTTTGCGCAACTACATTGCATAGCTACTTATATGAATTTAATTTAATTAATAACATATTAATCAAAAATAAACCAAATAAGAGATTATGTAATACAAAAAAATTAATCAAATAAAGCAAATTAATCTATTTATGCATATTAATATGCATAACATAACATAAATAAAAGTTTTTGACAAAGATCTTTACTATTCTAGTCTAAAATGAAATATGGCAGATCATGAGCAAGTGCACAACCAATGATCAACAATGAATAACCTGTTTCATCTCTGATCATTCACTTTTTGGAAAATAATCCATAGCCTTCTGGTAAAGAAATATAAAAAAAGAGTTAAAAATGAGGCCATGATAATCAGATTTTTTAAAAAATTTATTAATACATATTTATAATAAAATTTTAAACCTTTACTTTTTGAACTATCATGTTTTGAGAATTCTAGAAATACTCTTTTTTATGTTTATGCTTTGAAAATGATTGTCTTGCTCTTATATTAGAACTACCAATATTAACTAAGGTTATATGATCTTGTTTTGTTCTTGAACTAATATATTTCTCTTTACATTTTGGGCAATAATATAGTACTTTTTTGATTTATATACAAATTGTGTACTAGAAAAGTGCTCTTTAGAGAACATTGCATTTATTATATTTTATAATATTTTTTTGATATAACAATATATTATAAGCAACTATCTTAAATATTTCTTTAAAATAAATATATAATAAATAAAAACATACTATAGATCTTAATTACTACTAAATTAATTAGAATCAAATTTTCTAGTAATATAAATAATATGTAAACAATAATATGTTCAATAACTTCTCTTTAGAATATATTAATTCTCTTCTTTCCAAAATGCATTAATCTTCTTTTTTCTGAAATATATCAATTTCTTCTCTTTTTAAGCAAATATTATAAACATTATATCAAATATAGTAATTTATGAGCACAGAAGAACTATCAAACGTTTATACAGAATTCTTTAATATTTATAATTTAATAGTTTGTTATAATATCTTATCAAGTAAAGAAGCTCTGCAAAAACAACACGTTAACTACTTTAGTCCTTTCAAATTATAATCTTAAATCAGTATTGCAGATATACTAGCAGATACTTTTCGAAAAATAATGCTTTAGATGCACATAATTTATTGAATGAGGTAAATTAAATATGAATTGAATTAATTTGTTAAATTTACCCTTTATTTGATTAAAGATTTCTTAAAGCATATCTTCAAATATTTTCCATATCGAATATATTATTTTTTAATAAAAATGTCCAATAGCAACATGGCATGCCTTTTTATAGCCTTTTTTATGATGCTTTTTTTCACTATTAATGGCAGATCACTAAACATGTATATGGCTTCAGTACCCAGTTTGGTAATTAATACTTTACTTAGGTATTAAAAACAATATAATAACAACAATGCTGCCAATAAATAATAATTTGATTATAAGGCTAACATCTCTAAGTTCACATCCTTAGCATTAGGACAAAAGTAAATATGTATCTTAAAGAAGTGCACAAGAAAAAATATACATGTGGTTAACTCAAGCTCATCTAAGTGTATGCTCTTAAAGCTATAAAAAGGTCTTAACACATATTAAATTAGGAATTATAACTGATATTTTTCTAATTAAAATTATTTAAAGCATATCTACTTAAACTTCAAAAGATTAATCAAATCTTATTAATTGAAATTAAATCTATAATGATAATTGAAAAAACATTTAATTATTCAACATTTGCAAAAATTAAGAAACCTGTTGTTTTTAATATAAAGCTTACTTTTGAACCTATTCTTGAATTTGATACTAAGCTAATTGTTATATATATCTATAAAATAAAGTTCAAAAACATCATTATTGAATTTGATTTTTAAAAATTCGAATATTTGGCTTATATTCATCAAGTACAAAAAAAAATTATCTGGTTAAAAAAATCAATAAGTATTTATTTAATTTTCATATATGAAATATTTAGAGAATCTACTTTTATATTGGTTATTAATTAATTAATTTTGATGCCAGAAAGTCTAATTCAATAAACTATAACTTTATTTAATGAATGATGTTTAAACTTTGACACTAACATTTAGACTTCTTTTTATTATGTAAAACTACAAATTTATATGTCTTTCTGATAAATATTTCTTTTTTAAAAAAAACCTTAGAATTTAAATCTACCTTATTACAAAAATCAAAATTAATAAATAAATAATTAATAATTAATATAATTAAAGATTATCTATTCAACTTTATCATCATTATATCTGAATAACCAAATGTATAATATGTTTTCACAATCTTTATAATTCTGCTATGATTAAAATTTGTATTGTCTATTTTACTAATATAAAGCATTTTTCATCACATTAATTTGTTTTATCAATTTCTTTAAGTCTGCCTTATTATTTTTTAAAAAACATGTAATATTTTTTGGAATAATATTTAATTTCTTACTATTAAAACATTATCTTAAATAATTTATTCCACTATTAACAATTCTATTATCAATTCTGTTTATAATAAACTTTATACTTTTTTATCAAATTAATAAGAAAGACCTCAGATCCTAAAGTAATAAAATCTTGGAACAAATTTTTCTATTACTTGCTATAGATTTGTTTAGAATAAAAAATTAAATTGAGATAATTCTGTAACATTAATAATAAATCAATTAAATAAAAAATATTGTAAAATATAAATCACTTTATTGAAGGATGAGAAAATAGCTTTTGCATTTTGTTAAAGGTTATTTTAGATAAGTACAGTTTTGGGCTTTTCTATTTATGTCTTAATTGTTAACTAGAATAAGAAAGCAGGCAATTCTGATTTTTTTTCAGACTTTTTATTAGACTTTTTTTTCTCTTACGAGCATGAAACACTATAAATAACCTACTTTTTTTTCTATCAATTAAAAAAAAAAAATTACTTTCCTTTATGGCATTTTTTTTTCACAACATACACATATGCACAGACATGTATATACAGGAATGAAGAAAATAAATAAATATTAAAAATGAACTTTTAAGTTAACTTTGATTAGACTATTTCAGTATTAAGACAATTAATCTTCTTGAGCAGGATATCAGCTCTGAAGTCATATGCTTCAATGGCTTGTTGGTTAATTTGTAATATTTTTTGAGTAAGTTTTTTTGGATCACAATACCATGGCAGTAAATGACCTTCTTGAGCAGAACATTTGCTCCAGATATTGAAAACCTGTAAGTAACTTTTTATTCGAATAAAATTTACTTACAGGTTTTCACTATACATCACTTATATGTCATTATATTGTAATAATAATCAAATAGAATACTCTCGAGTTAGTCATATTAAAAATTAGTTAAAATTATGATTACATAATTTAAGAAAACATTTATAAATATTACAGTTCAAGTAAATTCATATCTTCTTTTTAAAAATAAATTAAAAAATAATTGAGATGGTGGATAATAGAGACAAACTTATAAAATATTGCTTTAATATTTTGTAGAAAGTAACTGAAGGAAAAATAAATTCAGTTACTTTTAATGAAAATTTATTATTTACAGTTATCTTTAACTTGGTCAATGGGACTTTCAAAACATTAAATTTAGATACACCAAAGGTAGTTCTCATTATCAGAGAAAACTTCATAAAAATTTTAAGATTTATCAAACAGAATGAAAAGGAAGTTGCAATCAATGATGATAAGGTAATTACATTATCTTTTAAGTTTGTCATATATAGAAACTAACAAGGCAAAAAACTTATAAAAGAACCTAGTAATTCATCAACAGAAATAGCTATTCAAGAAAGTGCACAAAATTCTAGTTTCGATGTTGAGGCAGATAGTACTTTTTTATTGATAAATAATCAAAATTCTAATGATTCTGGTGATCTCATATTCATATCTTCAAGCCCCAAAGGAAAAAAAGTATGCATTAAAACTTCGAAATTCATTTAATATCACTAATTCTTAAAATTCTTAGAACAGTCTTCTATTATATTTGAGTCACTAGATTTTATTTTTTCTAATATAATTGAAAATATTCTTAATAATTAAAATTCAAAAGGAATCAATACAACATGCTAACTCTCTTTCAGATGAATATTCTAATTCCGATGAAGAAAATGATGAGCAGAAGTTTGATGCAGCTTTAGCTTTATTGCATGAGGCCAGGCATAGTTCCCTGCAAAGTATTAATGAAGCATTGGTAACTATAAAATTTAAGTGTTCTGGTTTATTAAAGTACATATCATGAATATTTAAAGCTTAAAAATTTTAGGACCAATCATTAGTCACCAATAATGTTCAAGAAAATACTAGTAATATAGTAAATGAATTAACAGTATAAGGTAAATGTGATGAAATGATGGATATTCAAATGAATCAGCAATACAATATTGTTAGTAATTAATTTACTTGTTTTGATTTTTATTTTATAGAATTTAAAATATACATTTATTTCTTAACTCTGCAAAAATATTGTTTATTGACAATGTTGAATATCATACAAGAATGAAAAAGAATGAATGGAATATTCTGTGTCTGAATCACTGATGCTGATCTCGATAGTATGTAATTAGATATTTTTTCTAAAACAAAGTATTTCAAACAGTAAATTAATATATCTTCTAAAATATTGCTGCCAATAAATCACAAGCAAGTGATGGGCTTCAAAGTTCTAATAAGATGATAAACCTTTCACAAACATCAAATGATCCAGAGTTTGGTAAAGAAATAGAATACAAGCATACTAATATGAATCAAGTAAGAATTAATTTCTATTATTATAATTAGAAACTATTAATTAATTTGCTTATTAACTTGTGCCAAACTAAAACTAATGAATTTTAACAATTATTGTATTATTTGAATTATATAATTAAAAAGGATCCTGATATTGGAGAAGTGAACATGTCTGAAATTGCAAAAAAAAATAAAAATGTTTGTAGCATTATTTTCAGCTTATCTTTTTTTCTTTTTTTTACATATATACTTATTTTTTCACTGTTTTAATTAAGAAAATGCTTGCAATTTCATCAATTATTAACAATTAACAAAAGCTATTTACTTCATTGTTAAATATTAATGAACAAAATCAATCTAATAAATTAATGGATTTTTAGATAAAGAATTTATATTATCAATAGTAAATCTGGTGAGTATGAGGTTTAACTATTTTATTATTTTAAGCATCAATCTTTTGTTTTTGTTAATAACTCTATTCTGGTAAGAATTTTAATTTATATATGGGATCTTTGCTAGGAAAATCACCCTTCGAGCCATTGTTGCACAAGAATTTAATTAGGAAAATCATAATAAATCTATTTTTAGAAAAAAAATTTCCTAACAAAGATCCCATATAATAATAATAATAATAAGAAAAAATGTAGTTTATATCAAGAGTTATTGATAACTTTCCCCTATTTTATAATTGTTTTAGTTTTTTTTTATCAGAATTTAGGGTTAGAATGCAGTTTAATACTGAAATAGGAGTTAGATATGGGATCTTTGCTAGGAATTTTTTTTCTATAAATAGATTTACTATGTTTTTCCTAATAAATTTCTTGTATAATGATGGCCTGTAAGGTCATTTTAGTAGCAAAGATCCCATATAATGGTCCAATTTTTAGGTTATATGAGGTTTTCAGAGTTCTAAACATTTTTACTTAACCTATTTGACCCTATTTCTTAATCAATTTATTGAGATATAACATCCTAGATATCAATAACCACTGGTATAAATTATAAATATTCTAATAATAATATATTATTATTTCTTATTACATATTATTTTTATTATTTCTTAATTGCATTGGTTTTCATAATAAGATTTTTAAATAGTCTGCCTCTGGCTTTTTTTAAATTTATATATAAATTTTACAAAAAAATTTCTAAACCCACCTAGATATTATCAATTTGAACTGGGTTATAAAACCAACTAATTAATTACAATTAATTAATTTTGAATGGCTCTAATTATATTTTTTCTAAACAGGAATTTTTTGTTAATAAAAGCAAGAAACTAAAAAGTAAGAATTAAAATAAAATTTTTAGTATAATTATTATTAATTATATCTAATAGCATAAAACTGTCTAGCTTCAAATAACTCCATTAACATTTTGGTATATAGTATTATTTGAAATTTTGATTTTAAAATTTTCAACACTAATATAATAAAAATCTATAGGCTAAAGATAATGATATGCAACCTAATTCAGATTTAGATAATGCAATTAATGAACAAAGAAGTTTATTCCAAAAGCACAAATCCAAAATCACCCAAAATTTTAAAGTTTCAAAAAAATCAAAAAAATAATTCCAAGAATAAACAAGTGAATAAGGTAAATAAATCTTATTACAAAGAGAATTTGTAATATCCTAATGTTTTTTTTTATGAAATGATTTAATTAAATTATATTTTTAAAATATTTTCTAGAGCTCATTAGAAACTTAGATAAAAAGTCTTAAGTTCTATGATATTATGTTTTTTTAATAGTGTTTTCTTATTTATTTATCAATAAAAAAGAGATATCAATACTACAACTGAGCATAATAAACAAGCCAACAATAAAAGTTCAGTAAATATATTTAGCTTAAGATTATCTCATTTTTATATATATCAAACTTTATTTTAATTTAATATGAATCTCATTCATATATACTAAATTTTTAGGAGCTAGGAAGCACTTCAGAAACTTCAGATTTGGTTTCAGAAGCTTCAAATTTTTTAGATTCAATTTCAGAAGTAAACAGCATGATAAGTAAAAAAAAATATATAATTTACTAATTAACCCAAAAATTAATTATTTAGTAACTATTCAATTTTGATATAAGTTATATAAAAAACTTATAATACTTAAGATTAACTTTTTTTAATAATCACAAAAAGAATGAATCTTCTAAAAAAAAAGAAAAATGTGCTATTATTGAAGCAAAAGAATCTAATATTTATGAAAAGAATGAAAGAAAAGAATTAAGTATATGAATACATACATACTAAATATATATTTTTATATTAAATTTTTTTCAAACCATCAACTTATAAATTTACCATAATGCAATCAGATTATATTAATTTATTAAAAAAAACAGAAGAGAAAAGAGAACACCCAAAACTTTTGTGTCTCAAGACCCAACAAAAATATTTGAAATATACTCTCAGCCTGTCAACAAATATTTCAATGAAGCCTCAATATTATTATTAGAAACAGAACCATTGCCAGTACTAATGGAAGATGTTAATGGTTGCACTGCTTATCTTTGAATTTGGGATTCTCATTATAATCATTGTAAAGAGAAATCAGAAACCAGAAGTACAAAATATTAAAACTTATTTATTTATTATCTGAAGTTTTTTTCAACATGTTAAAAATTTGACATCAAAAACAAGATAATGAAAAAGTTTAGAGAAAATACAGGTTATTGAAAGGAGAGGGATATTAAATAATGAATAAACAAATTCTGGGATATTAGTTCATATTTAATGCTAAAAAAATAGATGAGATGTTGAAGCCTATGCCATTTTCTTTGAGTGATGAATGTTATACCCAAAGAAATAGTTAACGTAAAGTTGGATGCAAATTTTTTTTATTATGCTACAGAAGATGAATACAACTTTCTTATCAAAAAATTATTAGGGGAAGCATTCTCTAATTTTTCAAATATTAAAGGTAAAAAAATATTGGACTTAGTAAATATTGCTAAAAAAGTTTGCAAATAAGATACTTGATTTTTTTTAAAAAAATTTGTAGTTAGTTAAAATTTTGCTAATAGCTATATTTATATTTTTCTGAATACTTTGCTTTATTATATTTGAATTCAAGGATGTAAAGCATGTGATCACAAAGCTTAATGTTAATTATTTTATTAAAATAAGAATTATCTATTACTATATAATTGCATAAAAATATAATTTTTATCACAATTATTCTATTTTATTTCAATATAGTATCACCAAAAAAATCAAAATTGAATTTTCAGAACAATTTTCAGTTTTTGCAGAATATCACATAATAAAATAGTCTCATTATTCTAGTGCTAGTTTTATAATATTGATATAATTTATTATAACATTAGTATAATATCAATATTGATATATAATTTAGTAAGCTTTTAACTCTTAATTGAACATAAGACTTTATCAGGATAAAAACTAAATTGAACTTCTATGACCATGGGAGGCCATAGGAGTTTAAAATCGAGTAAAAAAATTAAAACAGATTCTTACAATGTGAATATATAAATTTTTTTGCTTAAGTACAGGATTATTTATTTTTACATTTTATAGTCTTAATTGTAGGTATGTTGCAATAATCAGAATTTTTAGGACATGCACTTTATTTATTCATCTTTTTTATCTATTGTTATTTATTGTTAATGTATGAATTATTTTATTTGAAAAGTGATATAGATGGTTGAACCAAAATTTTTATTATTCTTAAATTTGTTTTTTAACATCATTTCTTTGTTTTGTATTAACATTTTCACAGAAGGCATCTGCTAGCGCTTTCTTATAACTACAATTTTTTTTTTGAAATGTTAATATTTTGAGTAATTGAAATTGATATTATGTACTTGTTGGGATTTATTATAAGTCAGTCAGTAAGTGTTTAACACTTCTGGCTTTGTTTCAATTCTTTGCAAATACTGAACAATAGAACAATAACTAAAAATAAAAACTTGCTTATTATGTGCTTTTGATCAATAATAATTAATAAATCATGAAAAGATCTAAAGGTCATGGGAATGACTTAATTATGAATTATATTATTTATAAAATCATAGTAAACATTCATTTTAGTTTTGCATAAAACAAATAACTAATTAAATGAGCAAAATTAAACTCAAGTTCATAACAATTGTAAATTAAATATATATACAGAAATTTATTATGCTTATATATTTGAATTAAATGAAATGTATTTTAATTTATTTTTTTTGTATTAATTTTGTGCTAAATTTACAATTGTCTTAGAGTTTTGTTTGTCAGAATTTTGAAGCCCAATACTAATATTCACTTAGAATACATGAAATTTAATAATATTTTTAATTACTCTATAAACAATTTATAATTCTGGTAAAATGATTTCTGTAGATAAAAAAATTAGTTTATTCACTAACAAAAAAAATAAATTTCTTGTTACAACAAAAATTGTAAAAATTTAATTTAAAATTTCTGCTAAAAATTCTATAGAGAAAATTAATAAACCAAATTTAATCTTTGCAATACCATATTCCTTATTATAAAAAACTTGCTTTAATCAACAATAGCTTATTATGCTATAACAACTCATATAAATTATTAGTAAATTATTTCACTATAACTATAGTAAAGTTCAGCATCTCTCAATTTGTCTCTTTTATTAATTACTTCATTTAATAATTTCTTGTTTTCAAACCCAAATTGATTATCATTAATTTGCAATGTTCACGTAAAAAGAATTTACTAATGTTCATTTTCAAGGCTATCATATGAAAGATCTAGAGAAGTTAAACTATTGTTTTCGTGAAGTGTATCTGTGAATGTTTTTCCACTATTATAGTTATTGGATGGGTGTGTAGTAAATAACTCAGTTATACATGAGTTCATATTCCATATTAAAGGCACAGAATTTAAATATAAACTCATGTATGTAACTTGGTTATTTTTATACCTATACAATAATTATCTTATTGCATGGTGTCTGACATAACAATTTTGTGCCAATAAGTAAATAAAAAAAGCATGGGTTGTTATATAAGACTTGTGCAATAAGGACAGATACTTTAACATTCTTAATTATAAAAACATGAAGATATTGCAATATACTTAATTATGAAGTCAAGTAAGTTTAAAAGATCATTTTTGTGTAAAAACTTACTTTGTAATAAATTTTAATAACAAATAATTCTCAATCATGATTGGCTAATTTGGGGGTCAACTCAAATCAGATTAACTTCATAATTACTTATTATTATCTGTTATTGCTATGTTTTTTGTAACTGATTTAATTGGTTAAAATTTGACCAACCATCAAGTTTCAAATAGAAACAAAGTCATGAAATATATATTAATTTTGATTGGCTTACTATTATCAGCAAAGCAACCTTTTTTTATGTACTCCTGATCATGATGATTTTAATTGGCTAATTTATATCACAAAGTCATGTATCTGGAAATCAATTTTATAGTTTTATTGCAAAAAGTAGTAGTATTGAAAACAACTTTATTTGAAATTTTCACAAATTTGAATTTAGTTTTAAGAAAGAAAAATCATGAATTTCCTGAATAAAAGAATGCAATTGCTAAAAAAACATTATTTGCTAGCAGTATAAAATTTAGTAAAACCAATAATAGTGCTAATAATTGTATCTAAATTTCCTATAAACCTTAAATGCAAAACAAGGTTATTGTTATTATCAGCAAACTCAAAATATAAGACTGAGATTTGGCTGTTTGGAAAAAATTCTAATAATAAAACTATCTCCAAAATAATAAAAGTAACAATAATGCATTTATATTTTCTTGGATTATAATTGTTATTGATGGCAATAGTCACATTCATATTTTTATTTTGTGTAGCAATAGTTTCATTTTTTGGTTCTTCTCTATTTTGGTTTTGGTAGTTACTTAAAATACTCTTACAAACTTGGCAACCACAATTTTAAAGATCTTGGCAAATACAATTTTTAATCCCTTGTTAATCAGTCAAAGGTTGAAATGTAATTGATGACTGTCTTTAAAGATTATATTGATATAAATATTGGCTTGCATAGGAGATAGTGGAGGTTAAGGTTGAGTAATAAACTGCATAGGTGGATAATGTGTTTAATATTAAGTGTGCCTAATACTATTAATATGTCCAATGTCATGAGTACTATTAACAATATGAGGGAACATGTCTTGAGCTATGGAAGTATTCTGGTTTGTGACTTCTGGAAATTGACCAGTATTATGACTCAGGTTATTACTTTAAAATTGTGAAGTATTATTAAAACGAAGTAGTTGATTCTGATAATTGAATAAATTATTGTCCAAAAGGGAGGTATAATCGAACTGAATTAGATAAACTTGAGGAGTTGTTTGGTAACTGGCTTGTTGCTTATTTGGGTCATACCTTGATGAAAGTGATTGTTATCTTGATATGCTAATGCTTAACTTGAATAATGCACAATTGGATCTGAGCGAATCTTAGTAATTTGCAAACTTGTATTCAACTGTTATTTATTGTTAACTACATTTTCTCAATACACTTTACAATAATCATCATTACATGCAACACACTTTTCAGGATACCGATGGTTATGTGGTTTACATGCTGCTGATATTTTTTTTAGACAAAGAATTAAATTAGTTCTCTTTCTAGATTTTGTGATATTATATATAAAATCTAACTGATAATTTTTTCTAATAAGTCTTTATATTTACTATTTAACTTAATCAATCATCCAGAATCAACCATTCAGAATCAACACAAAGGTCAGTCAATAAACTAAAAAATACTTCATAACCTCAAAATCATATGAAAATTTACTTAGTTAGAAGTTGATTATTTATTTTTTAAAAAAAAGAAATATAATGTGTATAATAAACTTTATTTGTTTTAGAATAGAGTAAAATCACTCCATATAGGAAAATCTTTAAAAGAAGGGAATCATATGTTTAATAAACTTTTCAGACTTCAGAATCTCGTGATTCAGTAGAAAAAATCAATATTTTGTTTTTGATTTAATAGTTCTTTTGAACAACTGTATGATTCAGTCAATAAACTACTTTGAAGTGCTCATGTGAATCTTACTTCATTAAGGCATAAAATGAGAAAAAATTCAACGAATGAAATGCATAAGGGGCCAGTCATAGACTTGCTAATTTTGATGGAGTCATCTGTTGAAAAACTTTTTTGGCTTTCAAATCACATGTTTTAGTAAAAAACATCACTATCTAAACTAGGTTTAACATAATTCATAATTATACTAATTACTATAATATATACAGTATATTATGTGGCTTTTTTTATACTTTAAGAACTATATTGACCTAACAATCTAATCTTGTAAAATTTTATTTTGTTTGCATTATGCTCTAAAAAAGATCGAAAATTAGAACTGTCTATAGGGGTTATAGCAATTGAAGTAAATAATATTGATATTAAATAAATTTTTGTATATGAAACTTACAAATTCTATTACTATGTTTTAAGCCAAATTTGGATCTAATATAAAAACTACTTTAATTTAAGGTTTATGTAATAGAAATTAAAATGATTTCATAAATTTACTGCATTG